TTGCCTTCAGATGAGTTTAAGAAAAAGCTTAATAAGTACATGAATGAAAAGGGCTGGGTTTAAATTTTTTTTATTTTATTTTATTTTAATTTAGTTTTGAGGATGGAACATCCAAGATGGACTAATAGGTCCCATGTTGTCCCAAAATATTGTTATTTTATGTTAAGATAAAAAAAAATTGGGAATTTAAAAATCTGCAAATAGAGATCAAAAAAGTAAGGAAAAAGGGGTGGAGATACTGTAGACATTATTTACTCAAACTACAAACCCTTATTTTAGTAACATGCAGTTACCTAGAATTACATTTGGTGGAGTCAAAATAGGATTTGTAGTAAATAACGTCTACAGTATCTCCAGCTTTGTTTCCTTACTTTTTGTGATCTCTGTTTGCAGATTTTTGAAATTTACAATTTTTTATTTATCTTGTTTGCTTGCTTTATGCTCAATTATGAGCCATGGATTACTTGATATAGTAGCTAATTTTATACATTGTAATGATAATATACATAACTAGTAGCTAGTTGATACAGTTCATGATGATTTACTGCAGCTATTGACTGTTTGATCACATTTGTTCAAGATGTTTAATGTTAAGCTGCATCTGGAGATTGTCATGGAAATTTGTTTGAGAATATAATGAGCATTTATAGCTTCTGTGTAACTAAATTCTCTATATACAGTGCATAGCAAATATATGCCTAGACTAAGACACAACCCCCACAAGGTGTGAAAGCAAATTTTACCAGTAGAAAAGCAGCCTTTTCAAATAAAACATATACATCTAAAACATCGCTTTAAATAAACCTTTGTGTCTTTCGAAGTAATTTTTTTATGAATGTGTGTAATAAGATTTAATATTATGTGTATTGATGTTTTTCTACTGCTTCATACATAATATAGGGGTTGGCTCCCTAAAGACACCGATTGTATAGTGCACAAAGCATTGAGAATCTATGTTATAGTCATCTAATGTTCATCTATTACATATTGACTGGTAATTCCTGTTTCACCCTGCACTTAAACTTTTTAAAGGAACACCAAATATTTGTAAGAAAGCTAATAACATCGTTTATATTAGAATTATGATGTTTTTTAGCTTACGTGAAATATAGAAAAAACAGATCAACTTTTCAATACCTCTACAATCTTTGCAGTACTTTTTCAGTATTCTACAAAAAGTTTGGGTGCAATATACCAAGCTGTTTTTGTTGTAGGCTGGAAAGAGAATAATAATAAGAATAACAACAACAATAATTACAAATTGGCTCTTTTGAGCAGATTTTCTTTTCCTTGTAAGTCTAACATGCATGATTATTTTGTGCATTTTTATATATGTGTACAGGTTTTAAAATGTTCTTTGAACTGAATCTTTACTGTTTAAGGTGCTTTTTGCCCACACATTCTGTTATGGTTATGTGCAATTCCTTGCGATCTTTATTACGAATCACTATCATGGTTCATGATAAAGATAAGCTGGAAAGCAAATATTCAGATTTTTTTACTGTTTAGTAAAGCTCATTTGTTATATGACACAGTTCATTAGGAAGGGTAAACTTTTCATCTAATACTTCTGAAGTACTATTTAGTCCAACTCATTAAAACATAGTAAGTACAGTAGTTTGTTTAGAACAGCCTAAGTAATGCCTGGTTTAGTTCAGTCAAACATGGTAAATACAGTAGTTTGTTTAGAACAACCCAAGTTCTGTCTGATTCAGTTTAATCAAACATGGTAGATACAGTAGTTTGTTTAGAACAACCCAAGTTCTGTCTGATTCAGTTTAATCAAACATGGTAGATACAGTAGTTTGTTCGGAACAACCAAAGTACTTCCTGATTCAGTTCAATCGTACAGGTTAAGTTACATTTAGTACAGCTAAAATACTATCTTTTTCAGTTCGTTTTCATGTAGTATAGATAAGATACCATCTTATTAATTTCAAACAAACATAGTATTTAATCTGTGTTCAGTACATCTAAAGTACTGTGTGATCCAGTTTAGTACTATATATATTTATACTTTAATGAGATAAACTGTATAATGCTATAGATTATGGGAGTTTAATTTAATTGCTAGTTTTAGTTATGCATAGTTGTGGGTCAATTTTCTTTGGTGTTGCTGAACTCTCCCACAGAAAGATCACTAGAGAATTATGTGGTTTATTACTGTGTATGTACTCTAGGGATTTTAACTCTAGAGATACAGAAATAACAAGAGTATATGCCACAATTTTTATTTATGTAATGATCCAGTAATATGAATGACTAGCTTATTCTAGGAAAGTTGGCCCTGTTGTGATTTGTATATAGTGGTTAACTCTTACAGTCTGATACGGATTCATAGATCTCTTTCCACACTTAGAGAGAAGTGGAAAATTTGCAAATGTGTTTTGTTTTGTGTCTTTCAGCTGAGTTGTATTTTTTATCCAGTGTCTCATAGAGATTAAGTAAACTATTTTGTTTTGCTCAAGTCATAAAATTCAGTTTTAGTTCTGCATAATATTATATGCCATTCTTTCTGCTAGTGATCATGGAGTAAGACTAAATTTTGGTACCATGACCAGGATTTGCTTTCTTGGATTTTTTCTTGACAGGTGTACTTTTCCACACTCCTCTGAACTCTTGTGACATATTTTGAACTTTTTAAAACTTGACATGGCATTTTTCCACCAGCCTTATAAGCAAAGATAGGAGTTGGACATTGAAGGTAGACTGCCCTGGGAAGGTCTAGGGGAAGTCATCTTTGAATAACAGCCTTTCATCATTGATGGGAAAAGCCTTGTTCATGACCTCAAGGTAGCTACATACCTAGGATGGGAAACCACAGCTTTGACCTCCAGAGCTGCTAATCAGGTTCTATCCCTGACCTTAGACCTCAGTGCACAGAAAAAGTTGTCGACTGAAGATCTCAATGGCACCTTGCTATCAGAAGGTCCTAAGGTTGGGTGGAAAGTTTTCTAGAACCTCCAGGTTGTTTCAGACCAGTTGAATCAAACCCATCCATGATTAACCAAAGAAGAATGGAAGTACCACTGGTAAATTGAAGTTTGCCAGTTAAACCTGCATTGTTTCCAGGAAAAAACATACAACACCTAAGGCTTGTTAAGTAGCTGAGCTGATTAATGTGTGTGCCCCCAGTGGTATGTCTGCTGACTTACACCACTAAAAACCAGATTTCAATACCCATGGTGGGCAGAGCACAGATAACTCTTGTAGCTTTGTGCTTAATTACAAACAAACAGACTCTGATCAGTGTGACTGTTATTGTCCACTTGACAAATTGTTCACTTCTGGCTCACAGTGAGTCAATCAGGTGTTCAGTGAGTACATTTCATTTACTGCATGAACACAAATAAAAATTTTTTTTGCAAGATATCCTCTATTACTTTCAGTTTGGCTAAGAAACTCAAATTGCTTTATGTCTGTAGTATTACACAGTTCAAACTTTTCAGCAAGAACTGTTGGAAGTACACCATTGCCATCTTCAAATAGAAGAGACAAAATGTTAAACACCTTAAGTTTTTGTGATCTGCTGTTTCATTGATGGCATTCATTTAGGCTCTCTGAACAGTGCATCAAGTATGGCACCCAAAACAACATGAGCTGTCTACATGAATGGCTTAAGTGTTCACAATGATCAGTTTAGCTTGTTGACAAGCCTCTGGTGATGTCTATTGGATAGAGGATATCATCTTCACCTAAAGAATTGTGCTGCGAGAAACACAAAATGTTTATTAACTATTATTAATTAATCAGTTTTAAAGTTTTAAATGTGCATTTTTTATGATTTTAAATTGAAATATGGATTTTTTTTTGTTTGTTAAATCATATTTTTGTATTTCTTTGAGAATTTTAAGACTTGTGGTTATTAAAGAATGTTATTTATATGTTAAAGGGTTTTCATTGTTTACTGTAATGTCTTGTTTTATGAAATTGTAATGGCTATTTCATCTGCTAAAGATTATGTATTTTTGACTTTGAAAGGTTTTTAATTACTCATTGTTAAAGGTCTTATGTGATATTTGATTAATGGTAATTTTATTTTACAGAATGTTTCACGTATGGTAAACGGCTTGTCTTCGTATTTTTAAGGGTAATTAGATTGTGTTTGTATTTCATATTCTACTTTGCTTTTTAAATGTGACATCAACTAATTTATGTAAATGCTTATCTGTTATTATAAACCTAAGTTATTTTTTTTTAGGTGATCTGTAAATGAAACAAGCTAGGCCATGAAGTTTGTAATAATTTATAAGTTTTGATTTATTAATGACAAGAATGTGCTGCATAAAGATATAAAGTTCATGGGTGTAAGAGTGTTACACAATGTGTTGATTTTTTGGATAATAGTGATATTAGCATGTAAAAATCATGTTAAATATAAAGCCCATTTGCATTTATTAACAGATGCAGTACAATGTTACATTAGTTTGTTGTGAGAGCCTTTAGTGACATTAATGTGCCATGAAAAGCTTATGTACAGCTTCCAACAGGACACACATGTTGGTTGATTGGAGAGCAGTTAGTGATGATGTGTTATCACCTTGATTTAAATGTGTAACTCTTGTATATCTATCAAGATGTGTGAAACAGCATCACATAGTTATTTGTTGAAGAACAGTTAGTGGTAATAATGCTAAATGTAAAGCCTGACGTAGTACACCTACCAACAGGTGTAATACAGTGTCACAAAGCTGGTTGAGTGAAGAGTAATTAGTGATGTTGATATGTCATCAGCACAGTAATAAATGTAAAACTGTCATCAATATCACTAAATGTCATTTTTTGGTTGACTTTTGCATAGTTCTGTATTTGAAAGTCGAACAGGCTGGTGAAAAAACAATTAAAAAAGGAAATTTTTCTTGGAATGTTTTTGAACCTGTGCTAAGTGAAAACTTTCTAGTATTGATGTGTTACTTTGTTGTAATTTTTAAATTTTATTCAAACCTCATTCATTAATTTACCCATCATGGAAGAAATTTTAATGATTTTCTTGATTATAGTATCAGGGCTGAAGTGCTATTGTGTTCAGCATTGTCCAAATAATGAATTAGAAGGAATCTGTGTGGCCCGAGAAGGTGGTCGCTGTTTTAGTGCAGTAGAGGAAGTTGAAGCTGACGATGGACAGCTAGAAGCTGAACGCACATATGGCTGTTTGCCTCCAGATGAACGTGGTTTCATTCAAGTAAATTTGTCATATAGTAAACATAATTTTAAAATAGTATAAGTTTTTTTATCAGTAATTGGAATTTGAAAGTTAAACCAATATTTATAAAAAAAATTTTGACTAAGTATAAGTACAAAATTAGGCCAGGTAGTGAAGTCATGAATCTCTTATAGTAGTCTCGTATTTAATCAATTGATAAGGTATGCTAAAACTAATTGAAAATAAACTGTTTCTGTTTAGGTTTTAATTATAATTGTTTCACAATAAGAAAAAGTTTTCCATCAATAGTTAAACTCTGTATAGTTTTTCCTTTCTCTCTTTGTAATCAATTATGAGGAAGTATTACAATTTAATCCATCTCTAACCTTAAAAATTAGTCTGTGTTTTCATTATTAAAATGAAGCCTGAGTTTTGTATTTGTAAATTACTAGGAAGTGTTAACACAGAAAGCTATAAAAAAAATGTTTATATGTTTCATTTAATTAATAGTTGGAACTATGTTTATCTTTATTTTTCTACAACATGTATAAATATGTCTTGACTTTTTTACTTTTACCACACACACATGCCTGAACTCTACTTCTAGCATATGCATTTCTAGCTCTTTTTATCTACTTCTAGTACATTTATTTTTCTTGCAAAACATGCTTACCTCCTTTCACTACAGCTATTACCTCAACTGTCAGGGTTTCTTCCTTTACCCATTTAAGCATTGGTCTGATTTTTTCTTGCTTGCTCCAGTCTTTTATATCCCACTTAATTGCCCTTGGCGATATTTGTCTCGTGACAGTCTCCACCTATGTCATTGCGCCCTCTATCCTGGTACTGTATATAAACACATCATTCAGATAATGTTATCGCTATTTCGAGACTGACTCAATCCCATAGTTCTGCTCCTATTCAAGGGTCCAGACCCTCGGTACATTGGTACTCAGAATAGATTCTGTCCATATCCAAGGGATCTGCTGCTCGGTCGGATAGCCACCAGTGGCATTGTTCATTATTGAATGCCTTCAGGGTTTGTGGGGGCTTGGCTCCAAGGATGTCTGGACATGTGGTAACCTTAACCATGGATTCATGAGCACTACAGGTACTTGAGACATGATTAGTCATTAGTTCACATCTTCACCACTATTATCCACTCAACCTGTAAGTTTTCTGTCTCCCGCAGAGTCTTGGGATTTGGAACTTAGTTCTAGGGCTATCAGAGTTTGGTTGGTCTGGAGGTAGTGAGAGAGTCATGCTAGTTCTTCTGGGGTTTTATTCCTATAGGTTGTTGGGAATAAGAAGTCAGGAGATTGGTGTCCATTCATCAATCTTTGTCATCTATATCAATGTCTAAATTCTCCAAGGTTCGTAAGTTACTCATTCCTCAATCTGAGTTGGCATTTTTTGCTGGGATTATGGATGTCCTAGTTCATTGTAGTTGCCATAGTGGTGGCTTTCCACCACTATTGGCATTTTTTGTGCACAAGGATCGGGTACTGTAGTTCAGAGTTTTTACCTTCAGACTAGCATTGGCTTCCCATGAGTTCTGCCAAATTGTCAGTTTTTTCTCGTCACCTTCATTGCATAGCACTGTGCACACACCATTCTATAGAAGACTGGATATGACACACACATATTGGTAATGGTGTATTGAGTAGAGGTTGAACACACTTCAATCAGAAGTGCCAAGCATAACTTGTTTTTGACCTGGCTCTTTGGCAAGGGTTTTTGCATCTTTCACAATTGCCCTGTGCAAGGCAGTATTATTGACTACCGTAACAAAATATTCTTTGAGTCCCCAGTAATGTCTGGATTCCTCAAGTTGCTTTGGGTCCTTTGTCCCAAATAACCATTCCAGTTACCTAACTTTTATATTAAGGTTACATTACATGCCCATTCTCAACACCTGTTTGTGACTTTATTATCATATGCCATGTATCACCTTTACCTTAAGGCTTATTTTTCATTGTTGCTGACCTACAGATATTGCCGGTTGGAGTGGTTTGTACTGTTTTTCACAGAACACTTTATCATTCTACCTACATCCTCAGAATAGTTCTTCTTACCCAAGACACTGTTAGACAGGGAAGGGGATAAATCCTTTTCACTGATTCATCGGATTACTATTTCCCACTTCTATGATCTATCAGATTTTGATCGTTGTTATGTTTAGTGAGGGTCTTGAAGGTTTTATTGCATGCAATAATGCCTTTAGAGATGCTAAACAATGACTTTTTGTACTGGGCTCTCTTTGAAGACGAGGAATCTTCTGCAAGTCATGTCTAATCAAATTTGTATATTTCTGTCTTTTAGCAACCCAGTTTAATTGCCCGCTGAAGAACGTTGTGCAGAGTGGTATGTGGACCTTCCCCCCAATACTTTTATCTCATATTATTTGCATGATCTGAGGGTTTTTGCCTACTCCCTGTAGCTATCTTAAGCACTTCCTCCTATATTATACAGAGGGGTGAATATCTTCATTACTACACTTCAGGGTCCCTTACCTCGTTTTCACAGATCCTGTTCTGTGGCAATTGTTGCCCAGGCAGGTGTGCTTTATTCAAGCCAATTCAGCACTAGTAACCATTAATTCAATCTACTTTATTTAGGTTGCAACAGGCTCTGTAGAAATGAGGTATTCTATAAGAGCACCTAGAGGCTGCCTGGGTGGTATTAATGTACTGTGCTGGATCGCCACTATTGGACTATCATGAATAAAGAATAAGGGGATCCTGCCCATCCTTTTGTGTTGCCTTTTGGACTTCTTCAAGTTGAGGAGAAATGTTGTCCACTTTGGTGGTGCTTACCTTCTCGTTGTGATTCCAGTGGCTCAAAATGCATCACTCTAAGGCTACAGGTTGGGATCCAATCATAAGTGTAAATAAATGTGTGTGTGTGTGTGTGTGTGTGTATATATATATATACCTTGCAGTATAATTGCTCTAGCCACCAATGTGGGATATAGGGACCATGGCCCCATAATTTCAACACTGGCTATCTGGTTGGGGCCTGGCCCATAGTGATGATAAATCAGGTAAAATTCCACCCAGAGTACATGAATTAAGTTCTGGGTGAAGAGCATACCTATTCTGGATGTAGTATGGTTCCCCCACTAGGGTTCCAATCCTCAATTGACATACCTATAATCTATGCAGATGCTTTCTGTGTGGATAATTCTCTCACTGGCCCCTCCACCTTCTCAAAGTGGGATTCTAGCTGTAGTGTGAGAGGAGGTATGTATGTTGTGGAAGTTAACATTTTCTTAAATTGAAAATGTATTTCCAATAATACTTACCTCTGCTGACATTCTCCCACCCTTTCTCCCCACTAAGAGCTAGTGTTAGAGACTGGGATTGAGTCAGTCTGGAAATAGGGATAATATTATCTGAATGAGTTGCTTATATACAGTACCAGGATAGAGGGTGCATTGATGTAGGTGGAGAGTTTCATGAGACAATTATTGCCAAGGGCAATTAAGTGGGTTATAAAAGACTGGAGCCAGGAAGAAAAAATAAGACCAATGCTTAGATAGGCAGAGGAAGAAACCCTAGCAATCAAACAATTGCTGTAGTGTGAGTGAGGCATTATTGAAAATACATTTTTGACTTAAGAAAATGTTAACTTTCTTACATTTGTCTTTTTTATTTCTATTACCTATATGTGTAGTTTATTTCTGACATGTATATTTAATTTTATTTCTGCCATTTGTATGTTTAGATTTTATTTCTACCACATACATATGTGTAGATTTAATTTCAACCACACGTATGCGCAGCTTTGTTTTCTGTTGTTTTAAATAATAATTTGAATATATATATAAAAATAAGAGTAGTATACTTTGAACAAGTTTGAAACTGGTTCCTTAGATTTTTAATTTTGAATGTGTAGACTGACATTTCTGATGGGACTTAACTGTGACTTCAGTGGTAACACTGACAACAATAAAATTAATCTCAGAGACTTACTTTCAAAATTATTAAAACTATAATATGTTTATTATGGTGAATATTTTCAATTTTCAACACACATTTGTATTATTATAATTGTGAAAGTCGTGATATCATACAGTACTGTTTGTTGCACATGAAAGTCATGATATCATCAGGTACTTTGTAGTGGCAACACCAGTATACTTCATTTCATATTGCTGTTATTGAGGTGTGGTTCTTGTGCAATGTGACTTGGGTGTCAAAGAAATTTACATCTAATCCTCAGATTTATAAATCAAATACTTAGTTACCTATTAGTGGTATCGGACCCCTATATCTTTATCATTAGTTTCTGAATTTAAGTATATTACATTTTATCAAATGCATATTGTTTACTAGGACCCTGTATGTCTTAAAAATCTGTTAAGCAATTGTAATTGAAACATCTTAAGGATGCACATTTGGTATTCAAAACCATATTTAAAAAAAAATTTTTTTTGAATCAGACAGTGCTTTCAGTCAAAGGTACATTTTGAATCAGACAGGGAACTTATTCTTTAAAACCATCTTTAAAAAAGTAATTTTTAAAGCTAACTATCTATTCAACCATACAAATTATTATTCTCACGCATAAATAATTTTTGAAGTAGAGAATAGTCATACAGCTTTAAATTATTAGTTTCATATTTTTCTTTGAATTTCCTCAGGTTTCTTAAAATACCTTGTGAAGGAATTCAAGATGAAATATCTGTTGATTATACTAAGTTCATTACTAATATATGTTTATTGTTTGACTCGGCTGTAAATGTTACAATGTAAAATTAAATATCACTGGAACATATAAAACAGATTTTTCACCTAAGACATTTTCACCATGTATTGGTATGGGGACAGCAGATCTTTGATGAAACTATAGTTGTTTGTGTTTTTCATTGCATTGTACATGTAAGATCAGGTTACAGGTCTGAAAAGTCCTATTCATCTGTTTCTGAAAAACTTGAACATGTGGCAGGGTATCTATTTGACTCTGATGACATATGGATGGTGGTAATGTTATCCAGAGTAGGAGCTTAGTTTGTTAACTTAGGAAGAATGAGAGGCTCTCTATGTATTTAGTATGAATTGTTCACAGTCGACATGTACTGTTTCTTTGTAGATCCATGTGATTGTTTGTTATTCTACCTAGTGTACATGTACTGCATTGTTTTTGTGGAGTTTCACAATTGTCTGTTGTTCTATTCAATGTACATAAACTGTTTTTTGTGATGCCTTTTGGTTGTATTATACTACTTAGTTTACATGAACTATGTTATGTTTTTAGAGTTACTGAACAAGTACATCTGTTAGCTTATAGAACCATTAAGTTACATACAAGTATGTTCTTAATTAACATGTGTTTGAAGTGTTAGATTCAAGGGAAAAGTTTGAAGACAAGTTTTGAAAATATTATAAACAAATGATTTTTTGTTTCTTAATTCTGGACAAAATATACAGAACAGAGTAAATCATGATATGGGAAAACAGTTTTTAGATGTACAATTAAATCCAAGACTTCATTTTTTGATAATTAGGCTGAAATTAAACCAGAATGACTTTTAATGGCAAGTTTAACCAGAACAATTGAGAAATGTTACATTTTTTTTTATTTATATACAGAAATTATATTATTTTGTAATGGATTTTGTATAATTTGTTATTTCATGAGCTTACTTTCACCAAGTAGTATTTCAATGTGGATTAGTAAGGAAATTTTAGCATACGTTTAAGATAATATTGTAGGTTGTAGCTGTTGTTTCATGCTGATTTTAAATATTTTCCAGTGTAAAGGGAACCTTGTTCCACACCTTGTTCCAAAGTCTATAGAGTGTTGTGATGAAACGGACATGTGCAATAAGGCCCTTAATCCAAAATATACAGTAAGACTACCTACTCAGAGCCCAGGTGAGCTTGTATGAAGGCATGCTTCATCCTCTTTCTTAAATAATGTATGTGCTGTTCAATTTGACTATAGGGTTGTTAGATATAAATGGCTGTTTCATTTAAATTTTATACAAGAGTTATGATTTAGATGGTTATAAAGTGCAAGTGTTAAATTTAGTATTTTTAGAAACAATGGGTATGGCAGGTTTGCTTATGTAACCTTTACAAATCAATTGTTGTGAATTGACATCACATTACTTGGACCTTCTGAATTTCTCTCATTGCTTTAAGTGAGTATTGTTACATCATCTCATCTCGTATTTTGTAGAAAGTTCTAGGCCTCAGTTGGGCAGTATATATGGCTGACCAAATTAGTGGAAGTAAGACAAAGTTAGTAGGAAATATAGACAAATAGATCTAGGCTGTGTTTGTAATATTAGCCATAAAGAGTTTATGGTGGCAACTTTTAAAGTGTAATAAGATTGTATTGTAACAACAGAGTAGAGAAAAATAATTTGTCATGTCAAAGGGTGCTCTAAAGTAATTGAACCCACTATGTAGTCTTCACAAAAAGAGAGAATTATTTAAAGTTTTGTGATAACCAATAGTATAGCAAATTTTTGTATGTTTGTTTGACTTGTTTCAATACATTATTATATTAAACCAAGTAGACTGTAAAGAATTCTGCCCATCCATACATTATATATATATATAAACTTGACAGGATTATTAGTACCTGTTGCTTTTGTCTTTTATATTTACTAATATAATATATTTAGTAACCAAAAATCAACTAATACTAAATTAATCTGTTGTGTTTTGTACTGTATTATTGAAACCGCATATCATTTTATCTTACAAAAACAAATTTAAAGTTAATATTCTTTCATTTTTAATATTTCATGTAAGTATTTCATCAGACTAAGAATTAATTTATTAACTTCTTAATATCTGTCTCATTCCAGGAGAGTTTTCAACTTTTGATGACAGTATTCACCAGATAGCACTTTTAATATCAGTGACTGTCTGTTTTATTTTCCTGATTGTATTTGTATTGGTTGCCTATATCAGGTAATGCTCTAATTTTCCTTCAGACCATTATTAGGTTAAAATTTTATATTTCTCTTCTTATTTTGATACTTTATTTATTACATCAGAAGAAAATATATATCTAATTGCCATCAATAAAAACTTAAAAGGAGGCAATAAATTTGCATTTTGGTCTATAGATAGTATCAAATACTGTATTTTGTAGACATTCAGTAAGGTGAATAGGCTTCAATTTGACCCAAAGTTAGGGCATTATTGTGATTTATCATATTGTTATATTGCATTTTATGTTTTAGGTTTAAAACTTGATCTTAAACATATTCACTTAAGATAAAGACTCAATATTTATTGAATGTTATTTGCATTAGGATAGAAGTTATTAGTAACACAAAAATAGGAACTTTTCTATACAATGTCTAAACCTTGTGTATGGTTTTATGAAACTAACTCCGTGAACTTATATGAAAACAGTTAAACCCTGTGTAATGTTCTATCACAACAACTGAATTTTGGGTAAAGTTCTATAAAACTAACTAAGCTTATGTAAGGTTCTGTGGAAGGAATCTAGTCCTAGTTTAAAGTTCACTAATAACTGTACTTTGTATAACATTATATGACTTTAAAACTTTGTATAAAATGTCAAGAATGTACAAAAAACCTTGAAACTTTGTTTTGTTTAGATGGAAATATTGCATTAATTGCTATGGATACAGTTAAACCTTTTGTAAAATCATCTTTACAGAAAATAAAACCTTTTATATTTTACCACAAAAAAGCTTAAATAAAAGTATTATATACGTAAATACCCCTAAACTCCTATTTCATCTCTTGTGTATAGAAACTTATCAAAAAGTTTTATGAATAAAGTTTTTGTTTATGTGTTAGAGTTAGATTTCTCCCATCTCATTTTCTTTATATCCTCAATTAAAAAAATATACTTAACTCCATACCTCTTCCCGTGTTTTCTATAATAATAGTAATATTTGACATACACTTTGTAACTAAAAGTATTTTGTATTAGACTACACTGTTCTAGAAGTTTAAAATTTGATTATTGTATGTTGTCAGTTAATTAGACCAATGCAAAAATGTGAACAGTGTTTCATTGGGGTTTTTGTGTGTGTGCAAAAAAATTGTATGTATATATCCATAATACTGAATTATTCTGTTTGTGGGTTTTTTATATCTACAAACACATCCTTGCTTTCAAGTACATATATTAGCCAGGATTTGAAAACTGTCCATCCAATTGTTTAAAAAAGTAATGTACTGAAAGCACAACTTCTAGAAGGGAGGGGTGGAAGCTTGGAGCACAAATGAATTAGCTTAATTTATTGAAAAGATGCTACTTTTAGTAGATATACATCATCTTGACCAAGAATATCATTTGCAAAAATATTGTTACCTAGTATGATGAAAGTAATGGTGATGCCATTTTGAAAGGTGAGGTCCATGGCCGCTGATATTTCATTGTTAGTTTTTGCTTTGTTTTTACATTTTGTAGTCAGAAATGGTGACTGTTGTAATTGATCAATAAAGTATCTAAAGAAATCTATATAAATAATACGCTTGCATTTGTCTAAAACTTTTCTCGCAAATTTCTTGATCAAATGCTACAAATCTCGTATCTTTAGAAGGGCCTTTTTTCCGAGAAACCTGGATTGCATATTGGCTTTTCAATTCAGAATCACCTTACTTGTCTTTTGCTTAGTCACACTTTTTAATGCAACAATGAGTATGCTACACGATGGAAGAATGTCATTGTTCTTATTTACAAAGTATTTCACACAAACAATACTTAACCTACTTGTAATTTCCTAAAAAAAATTAACGTTACACTAAATACAATTGTGTAGTTTAATTAAATAAAATTATCTTTACCTGAGTTTGTCTGACTGCATAAGATTTTTTTTCAACTAGACCAGGATTTAATACCTGCAAAAAAGCAAAGCTTAAATGGAGTGTGTGAAAATGATAGAATAAGGAAAATTCAAGTGAATAGCACGAAAACAACCTAAAATGTGTTGTGGGGCTTATGGCTTGTTAATAAATATAATTCTAGTTGTAATTGGCTGGATGTATAAAATGGAACTTTACAATGAATGATAAATTGAAATTCTAAGGAGAAAAATAAGTATTTTAAAAGTTTTTCTTAAAAAGAGTATTTCACAAAAAATGATAGAAATACTGAATCCAATTATATGAATTTTTGTAAGCTAAAACTAGATGCTGTTTAGTAAATTTGTTCAAAGTTTCATGCAATTTGATTAAGTACTGCTGCTGTTAGAAGACAAAAATCAGGGGATATCAGTGAGACACTTCCAATTCTGAAAAAGAGTTAAAATTCTCATTTATTCTGGAAGTGAAGTCCAATTTCATTTTGACATTATGATTATTTGAACTCAGTCATGTTTAGTTTGTTATCTGTACACTGAAGGACCTACAATCAAAGTACTGATTGACATCAATATTAGTAAACACTACATAGAGGAACAACAGAAGGAATCAAGTACTTTGTTAAATGGTAAAGGACAAACACAGTTTAGTTGTACTGAAATTAATTTAATATTTTGCATGACTTGTTCATCTCTAAGTTTTGACCTTAATTGACAACTGCTCATCAAAAGATGAATGGATGAATCACTGGCTACAAGTTAAAAGAAGAATAAAACTTTTTAAATAGACATCATGCATTGTTTGTCTCCATATTTGCAAAATCACATTGTCTCTGCAGGCATTCATCAGGTAGATAAAAGCTATGATGTATAGAGAAGATTTGTTTAAATAGTTAAGTAGTGCCAAATATCTGTTAAGTCGTCAGGAAATTAATGTTGTTTTTTTTTTTAGATGAAAAAAACCCAAACAACTTGTATATCAAAACAAAACATTTATTAAATTTATTAACACCTTTCACATTTGCATACATTTTCCCATTAAGATGGTGTTGCAGCGAACGAAAAAGATGGTAATCTGTAGGTGCCATATCTGGAGAATAATTGTTGATGGGGGAGAACTTCCCAACACAACACCATAATCTTGTATTGCGTCAAACGTGCCACATGTGGATGTGCATTGTCGTGGAGAAGAACACCTTTCCGATTGACGAGTGAAGGGTGTTTCTGATGAAGGGCTTGATTTAAACTGTTGCTGACTATAGATCTCTGCATTGACAGTTAGCTGTGGATTGAGTAGTTTGAAATGAATTACTCCTTTGATGCCCCACCAAATGCAAAGCTCACTTTCTGCGGATGGAGTCCAGGTTTTGGGGTCTGAAGTGGTTTTTGTCTAGGACTGAGCCATTCTTTTTGGCATTTAATATTTGCAGAGAGAATCCATTTTTCATCACTGGTAACAATTCTGTCCAGAAAGGGTTCACATGCATTATGTGCCGGAAGAGACGAAGCAACATTCACACGTTGGAGACGATGATCATCGCAGAGTTCGTGAGGCATCCAAACACCTTCTTTATGGAGTTTTCCCATATTCCTTATATGTTTATGTATTGTTTAATGAGAGACATGCAATTTCAGGACCATTTCATGAGTGTGTTGCCTTGGGTTAGACTCAAAAAGTATCTTCAGAGTATCAATATCAATTCCAACATGTTGGTCCCTGCCATCACATGTTTTAAGGCGAAAGTCACCTGAATGAAATTTGTTGAGCCATCGTTGACACTTATGAATGTTCAAAACATTTCCACAAACTTCTTTGATATTCTTTGTGGCTACAGAGGCGTTGTTTCCTTTCTTGTATTCGAACAGCATTACTTGCTAAAGTGTGTCTCATCTAGCGCCATCACTATAAGGGGTTAGAGTGTACTAAACTTTAAACATTATATAGGCTACACTAATGTGACATTTAGGTGGTTTGTTTAACTATTATATGTGATGTACGTTTTTTGGGTTTTGGTTAATGAAAGTGTTTCAAAATGCGACATTAATTTCTTGATGACATAACAGATGTATAGTCTCTGCTGTATATTTTTTAACCACATAAAATTAATTTCTGTAATATTGTAAGGTAAATGTTTTGTCATTAGAGGGCACCACAGTACTAATTAGCAGTTATTAATGTGACCTAGGTTGAAGAACGTAAAAAGAAAATAATAATAATATTATGAAAACTTTGTCATTATATTAAGTTAATGCTAAAGATGTTTATCTGAAATGTATCTTGATGATTCTATGTTGGTAAATAAAATTTTATCCTTCTTGGCTAATGCTTGGATTGGGTGAAATTGAAGTTTGATACATTCGTGATGTTAGAAAAATACGCAGGTTCGAGAAGTCTTGATAGAAATGAATAAAAACCCTATAACTCGAGCACTTTTGAAAGGTGGACCTTTCTTCTTCAGTACAAAGTTTGATTGTTGTGTAAATCAAAGGAATATTGAGTAAATGTTCTTTGGATGAACATATATTCCAATTCTTTTGGAATTTCAAATTCTGGTTTTTTACTGGTAATACTACATCTAAAGTTAAAAATATAAATAATATCATCAGTTGAAATTGCATTCAAAAATTGTAGCACAGTATACAAATTATTTTTAAAATTTTACAATTGTAAAAAGTTAATTAAGAATTATAAATCATAATAGCTATGTAATAAACAGAAAACAAACCTAAATACATTTTGTGTTGTATAATGTTGGTTTTTATTTTATACCCATATATTGTAAAGCTGATAAATTTCAATATTTCTATTCCTAAAAAAAGTACCTAAAGTTTCCTGTAAAATTGAAAATGTATACATGAAACTTCCTTCACTGGACTACAACCCCTAATGATTTCTTAAGCATAACTGTGTAAAACTCGACTTGATATTCCTGAAAGGAATTTTTATCAGTTAAAAGATGTGTACATTAAAAAGAATAGGGTAAGATCTACTTTTACAGTGTCACCTGCTTGGTTTATGGACTATTCCATATTATGAACTATACTCTGGGTTATACATTACTTATCAGTAACAAAATTGGCAAGGTATTTTTCTTATACTTAGTTCATTGTCAGACTTTTAAGTGTATTTTTATCATATTGGAGTTACGTTCAAACATATTTTACAAACATTCACAGATGCAAAAAGAGAGAAGAAAGAAGACAAAATTACATAGCCTCAGAACAGTGTAATGTTTTTATAGGCAAAGGAGAAACCATCAATGATATGATTGACCAGTCATTAAGCTCTGGAAGTGGATCTGGCCTTCCTATACTTGTAAGTTGTTAACTGTTCTCAACCACTAGCTAAACTCTGGCAGTGTATGTGGCTTTCCTATACTTATAAGTTGTTAGTTGTCCTCAGTCACTAAGTAAGCTATAAGAGGGGATCATGTCTTACCCTATTTTAAGTTGGTAGTTGTCCTAAGACACTAGCTTAAACCCTGAGAGTGGAACATGTTTTCCTCTTCTGTTCTCAGTCACATGCTGAACTGTGGGAGTGGATTTTGTCCTCCTCCTATTTGTAAACTATTAACTATTCTTAGGCACTGGATCTGGTCATCCCTTTCTTGTAAGTTGTTAATTGTTCTCAGGCAGTAGCTAAACTCTGGGAGTGGATCTGGCTTTTGCCTACATGTAAGATTTTTTCTATTTTCAGTCAGCTAAACTTCCATTTTGTACATTTTTAGCTATTCTCAGTCACTAGATAAGCTCAGGCATAGGTTCTGGATTTCTTCTATTGGTGCATTGTGAGCTTTTATCAGCAACTAGGTAAGTTTCAGTTGATCGTTTGGCCTCTTCTGCTAATAAGCTGTAAGCTGTTCTCAGTGAGGAGCTAAGCTCTGGGAATGAACCTGGTCGTTGTCGTCTTCTGGTACATTGTAAGCTTCTTGATCACTAGCCAGTGTGTGGGAGTATATTTGGCCTTCCTGTACTTTGCAAGCTGTTCTCAGCAATTGACTGAGTTCCAAAGATGGATCTGTCTTATCTCTACACGGTTTATTTAATTGAAATTGGTTACTGTGAAGCTTCAATATTTTTATAATGTGAATTTGTTAGTCAAAAACATTTGAAGGTACAAAACAAGTACATTATTTTTGTTTTTTCACAAGTTAATATGACTAAATTCAACTACTATTCAACATTTGCACTTGGCAGGTAGTAAGTTAAATACAGTGTTATCAGTTGTAGTTCTTTTTGAAAAAATAGTGCTAGAATTTTTAATTACAGTTGTGGTGAATGAAATAGTAAACAGTGGGTTTACAATAGTTATATAGGGAATGGTTATTATTAGGTTTTGGACACTACATCTATTTTAATTATATGCTTTTTCTCCAGGTTCAGAGAACAATAGCCAAACAGATTGAGATGATTAAGAGCATTGGAAAGGGTCGATATGGGGAGGTGTGGAAAGCTAAGTGGAGGGGTGAAAACGTTGCAGTTAAAGTTTTCTTTACAACAGAAGAAGCCAGTTGGATCAGAGAAACAGAAATTTACCAAACTGTCCTATTAAGGCATGAAAACATTCTTGGTATGTTTGATTACTGATCATGAAAAGATAGTTTGTACTTAAAAAAAACAAGCTTGCTGTACAGATAAAACTGTCATGAATAGAGAGAACTGGTGAAGATATTTTTATTTAATGGGTATGATTTTTTGTAAATTTTTTATTAAAAATTTGTGGTATATCTGTAAGTTGATGTCTCAGTGTATATATTTGGATTATGGCTGAAATTATTGCAAACAGAGTACCCAGTTGCTGAAGAAATGTGTTCTAATCGTTATAAGTTAGAATGAAATATTTAGTTACCTACACTCGTTGTTGGGGTGATTTCTAGTTCTGATTTGTGTAGATATGTTGCTTCAGTCAGAAGTTAAATAAACAAATGTATATTAACTCACTGTTTTTATATGTATCTGTGAAGCAGAGCTATAGATAGGCAATGTATTTGTATAAAATATAAAACCAAAATATAAGTACTAAATACAATTGTTTTTAAACATCTCAAAAATGCTAACTTATTCCTGTTTATGATTATCTTTGGGACTGCATTCAGATACCAATAGCAGAACAGTTTTAAAACAATCAATAAATACATTTGTTCATTTGGTGGAAACTGGATTAGATTTCACAAAAGTACACACACACAGTTAATAAAAAAGTTACCCCATATGGGAGTGTACTGATAAATAGTGAGCTCTAACATCAGAAATATTCTTTTTGTTACTCTCTAACTGCAAAGCACATAGATCTAAGTTTACTTTATATATCTCGGTGTTAGGTGAGTTTTGGTAAGTCTATTAACCCCTTTGATATGGGTCATGGGTGAAAGGCCATGTCATCTCGTTTGTTGACTTTCATTCAAAATTTTATTGAACTACTATTTCATGAATTTATGTCAGTAAGTTTAATATTAAACTGTAGATTATAATTCAAATTTTAGAATTATAAACAGCGTGGTCACAAGTAAATAGACACCACCTTTACAGAAAAAATGCAATTTTTCAGTCATATTCACATGAATTGATATATTTATAATTTAATTAATATCTAATAGATCTTCCTTTCGCTTCATGGAGTTCGTTGATCCTTTGGGGCATTGTGAGAATCATCTCGTCAATTTTAGATTGTGGGATTTTTGCCCACTCTTGCTTCAAAACTTGGAGTAGATCGCTCTTCGAAGTTGGTTTTTTTGGTTGTTTCTTGACTTGCCGGTC